CCAGCAGTCTGAGACCAGCCTGGGCTTTATAAATACTGAGACCCCATCTCTACAGAAATTTTTTAAAAAGAAAATTAGCCAGGGATGATGGTGCATGTCTACAGTCTTAGCTACTTGGAAGGCTGAGGTGGGAGGATCACTTGAGCCCCGGAGGTCAAGGCTGCAGTAAGCCATGATCACACCAATGTACTACAGCCTAGGCGATAGAAGGAGACCCTGTTTCCAAAGTAATAATAAAAAACTTTTTAAAAGAAAAACTGCAGAGATGTATGCACACACATCGCATATGTATGCATGTACACATATATATAACTACATGTATACCTGAAGGGTTTGGGGATTTTTGTTTTTTTTGAGGCAGAGTTTCGCTCTTGTTGCCCAGGCTGAAGTGCAATGGCAAGATGTCGGCTCACCACAACCTCCACCTCCTGGGTTCAAGCGATTCTCCTGCCTCAGCCTCCTGAGTAGCTGAGATTACAGGCACGTGCCACCATGCCCGGCTAATTTTGTATTTTTAGTAGAGACAGGGTTTCGCCATGTTGGTCAGGCTGGTCTCAAACTCCTGACCTCATGATCCACCCGCCTCAGCCTCCCAAAATGTTGGGATTATACTCGTGAGCCACCTTGCCCAGCTTGGGGTTTTTTGTTTTTATTTATAGGGATAGGGTCTCGCCATGTTGCCCAGGCTGGTCTCAAAATTCTGGGCTCAAGCAATTTTTCTGCCTCAGCTTGCCAAAGTGCTGAGATTACAGGCATGAGCCACTCACTACCCACAACCACAAGAAGTTTTATATTCATCAAATGCTTATGCTGATTTAATTATGGAGGAAACACAAGACTAGAAAAGTCAAGAACTAAACTCATATACAAAGAGACATAAGAAACTAATACAACTGCATTTCCTATGAATCCAGTACATGAATTTAGCTCATTTCATTAGCACAGAGCACTGTGACTTTAGTTCCTGAAAAAAAGGCCCAGGAGTGGGGTGGGGTGGGGTGGCTCATGCTTACAATCCCGGCACTTTAGGTGGCAGGGGGGCGGTAAGGCAAAAGGATCACTTGAACCCAGGAGTTTGAGACCAGCAACATAGCGAGATACCATCTCTTTAAAAATAAAAAATAAAAAAGGCAGTTTTAACTATCATTAACCTTTATTGTATAGTACACATTTTAGACTGTAGCATTTAAAGGAAACCTTGTCAATTTTTACATGATTTTTGAGAACATTTTAAATAATATGAAGTAAAGACAAAAAACATTTCAAGAAGCAAAACACAGTGGAAAGCTTCCACAACAAATTGGAGCTTCTTGGTTTCTGTAGGTATTTCATAAAAATTGTAGTAAGGCTTATGATGAGAATTATTTGGGAAGAGAAAACGTGTATGTAAGAAAAATGTGACATCCTCCCACTTGGTGAGGGGAGATGAAACTCCACTAATATTGGGTGAGGCGCTTTAATATCTGCCATTCATTCAGACAGCAAATACTCATTAATGCCCACTAAGTGCCAGGCATTTCGAAGATACAATCCTGTTTACAAGCACCTTACTGTCATATGAGACAGGGACCAGATACATTAAGAAAAATTACCAAGTATGTTATTATATGTACTGTTATAACTATTGTTATGATAAAAGCTACACCAAATACAGTATGTGAGAAGAGCAGAGGGGCAAGCTGGGAGGTTAGCGAAGATCTGAAGAAAGAAGAGGGAGGAAGAGGAGTGCATTCCAGATGTCCTATCATTTAATCCCTACAATTCTGGATTAAGTACCTTTCCCAAGGTCACAGGACTATTAAGTGTCTGAGCCAAGCTTTGAGAGCAGATTTTGAGACTAAAGGCTTGCTTTGTCGCCCAGGCTGGAGTGCAGGTGTGCGATCTTGGCTTACTGCAACCTCTGCCCCCTAGTTTCAAGCAATTTTCCTGCCTCAGCCTCCCGAGTAGCTGGGAGTATAGGCACCTGCCACCACACCTGGCTAATTTTGGTATTTTTAGTAGAGATGGTTTTTTACTATGTTGGCCAGGCTGGTCTTGAACTCCTAATCACAAGCGATCGGCTCACCTCAGCCTCCCAAAGTGCTGGAATTATAAGCGTGAGCCACCACGCCTGGTCTGAGACCAGATTTAAACGACTTCAAAGTCCATGCTTTCACTGTGCCATGCTGCATTTTCCCAAATTGCTACTTCTCCCCAAACCATTTCCTCTTTAAGTTCATTGAAGAATGTTGACTCTACCCTAGACTCTAAGTGCCAAAATTAGACTCTCTTCCAGACTAGGCCCTTGGTTTTTCACCTGCTACCTCCAAACTCATTTTCACATACCTTTTGATTTGGGACGCTAACATAATTTTTTCACCCAGACTATAACGATGTAGAGAAACACCACCACGAAGTGTCAAAGTTTTTTAAGGTTATTACTTACTTGTACTACAAATAAAATAACTTTTTTTTCTTTTTTTGAGATGGAGTCTCGCTTTGTCACCAGGCTGGAGTACAGTGGTGCGATCTCGGCTCACTGCAATCCCCGCCTCCCGGGTTCAAGCAATTCTCCTGCCTCAGCCCCCTAAGTAGTTGGGACAGCTGTTCTGTATTTTTAGTAGATACAGGGTTTCACCATGCTGCCCAGGCTGGTCTCGAACTCCTGACCTCAAGTGATCCACCTGTCTCAGCCTCCCAAAGTGCTGGGATTACAGGCGTGAGCCACCATACCAGGCCAATAAAATAACTTTCTGGCAGACAGTTTTGCAAAGTTATTCAGATTATAGGGCGCAAAACTAAGGATACTGGTCAGGACAACAGTTGAGAAAATAAAAGCAACTACAAAAAGGGCAAAGAAAACGCCACACTTTCACTTCAGGAATGACTTTCACATTCAACAACTCTCATCTGTGATTCAGATCTCGACTTAGGAGAGCTTCTCTTTCCCTTCTTCCTGTTCCTACTTCCTCTTTCTCAGCTCTTCCATTTTTAGGAATAGCAAACTTCAAAACAAGACTTCTATTACATTAGATCTGTTGTGAGTTATAGCAATAGAACAGTCATAAAAAAACTAAATTTGGGAAGCTCCCCTTTCCTCTATATTCTTCCTGTGATTTTTTAATGCCGACTGAGGAACATAAAAGCTAGATCTGTGAACCTAAGATTTGCCACAAGCTGATTATATAAAATACTAGATACAGTTATGCTTCACTGAACGACAGGGATATGGGCTGGGAAATGCCTGGTTAGGTGATTTTTGTCTTGCAAACATCATAGGGTGTACTTACACAAACGTAGATGCTATAGCCTACTAAATGCCTAGGCTATGTGGTGTACACTACAGTAACATGCTATACAAATTTGCAGCCTAGGAGCAATAGGCTGTTGCATGTTACTGTGCTGAGTACCGTAGGCAACTGTAACAAAATGTTAAGTATTTGTGTATCTAAGCACATCTAAACATAGAAAAGATACGGTAAAAATATGTACTACAATGTCTTGAGACCACTTCTTCTATGCAGTCCTTGGGCAGTGCGTGACTGTAATACTTTGCTCTCCCCTCTCTACAAGGTAGCAGATTTTTTTTTTTTAAGTTTCTACAAAGCCCTCAACCTTCTTCCTTTATATCTGAGCTACCACCAATACTGCGAATAACAAGCTGGCTATGAAAATCAGACTACCACAGACTCAGCAAGAGTTATACACCCAAAAATCTCTCACGACTTTCAGTTTAAAAATATATGTACAAATATAGACAGGAAGATGGGGAGAGAGAGCGTGAGTGCCAGTGCCAGACGCTAACCATGTGAAGAAAGATGAATGATAAGCTGTGGCTTACAGAAGCAAAAACTAATTTGGAAAAAGAACTCAACACTCAAATGCCTGGTGCGTTTCTTCATCCCTAGGAACAAATGGTAACTAATGGCAAGACCCTCAAGTACAGGATAGGTAGTATGGAGCCCGAGGATTCCAAATACTCTCCAAGAAGCTACAGTGCTCAATTTATTGAAGCCTGGGGCTACTTTGCAAAGTTAACAAGGCAAAGATGTTGGAAGGCCTAATTATATTAATATATTCTTCAGGGCACTTATGGACTATTTGGAGCAATGGACACTATGTAAATCAAAAACATTACCATATCAATAATTACATAGGGTTTATAAGGTGAGTTTATATTTTGGGATTCTCTGGTAGTGATAGTTTACAACATAATTATATACACAGTGTATAGTCTGATGAATTTCCTCACTGAGGGTAAACTGCTGCGAAATGTTTTATTATTCGTTTATTGCTAGTCACGTTGTTCACACAACACGCCTATAAGTAGCGTTCCCTTTGAGCTGTACTGTTACTAGACTGTCCTGTGTTGTACCATCGAAAACCAACGTCCAACATGCTCTTTTCCCAGGATCGGCCTGAAGCACACGAGTGGAACACTGCATAGAAGAACTTTTATATAATAAAAGTACTGAACGTCTCCGGCCCTTAATATCCAGAGCACCCACCCCTGGTAAATGACAAGGGCAGTAACCAATCGCCAGGCAGGATCCTAGTGACTTAGCCAATAAGAATATGAGGGTGGGGCTAGGCTAAGCTGCCGGTGGCTTCCCCGCACCCCAGAGACCCAGGCTGTGGGAGGCTGGACAGGAATTGGACTCCGAGGATTTCGTTACCCCCGGTTGTAGCTGTTGTCCTCGTCATTCTCGCAATCGCTGCAGTGCTCATGGCCGTTCCCGTTCCCTTCCATCATCTGCGGCAGCGGAGGTCCCGGCGGCTTCACTGCTGTCTCACTCTCGTCCGCCATCTTGAGTTGCGAGAGCGGGGCTCCGCGCCCCGCTACATGGGGTGTTCCTATTGGACAAGGGGAATTTGCGCTGCATTCTGGGTTTTGTAGTTTTTCTGGAGAAGGGCGCTGCCACTAGGAGCGACTCTTTCCCAGAAGACTGACTACAATACCCAGGTATCGCGAGGGGCGGCTCCGTTCGGGTCAAGGGGCGGGGCCACTAATACCCGGAAGCCTAGGCGCTCGGCCGCGCTTTGTGGAAAGAAGGGCCGCGAGGTTGGTGGGACCGACTCTTCGGACCCGGGAGGCCGCCTGGCATGTTGGGAGTTGTAGTTCGCGCTGGTTTGGGGTGTCTGGCATGGAGGTTCCAAAATCCAAAGTTTGATTTCAGCCTGCCCTTGCCAGTGCCTGGGCCTCTCGGAGCCGTTATTGGCTGCCGTTAAGGACCGTTACCTTTCCCGGGTAAGTGAAAGGGCCCGAGGCCCGCGGATGCGACCCGCCTGGAGCCCGAATGCTCTGGGCCTTCTTGGAGTGGGCTTTTCTGCAAAAAGCCGTGTTGGCTCCTGGCCGCCTTCACTTGGGAGCCTGGGCAACCCCCGGTCATTGGCAGTTCAAGGTCTCATGAGAGCCAGTGGATTGTTGTGTGCGGAGCACTGACCCTAAGCCAGGAGACCAGACTCTGCTAGGGAGGCTGAGCTCGCCGCCGCATCTTGGCCTCCAGGTACTGATCTTCACCAAGCTCTTTCGCGCACACATTGTCCCTTTCATTCCCCACGTCTTCCACGACCTTTTTTTTTTTTTTTAAATAGGGTCGCCGTCTGTCGCCCAGGCTGGAGTGCAATGCGCGAGATCACGACTCACTGCAGCCTCAACTT